CCTTAAGTTTGGCAGGAGCCTGTTAATCACACTTTCATTGAAATCAGGTGTGTTGGAGCAGAGGAACAACTAAAGCATGCAGAATGGTGTTCCTCAGGGACCAGGGTTGGGAATCACTGCTTTAAATTATAAAGTGGGGTGTGGTAAAATCTATTTTTAGATGCGCCACATATACAGACTTGAAATATTCTGAATCATTTGTAAATATCAACAATTTATTTTTGGCACAGGCAAATAATCGCATAAAGCTGAAGAACAGGAAAGGAACAGAAGTGCACTTCTGATTACTTTTTATTTTCACATGTGAAAATGTGGAACCCAGACAGTTTAAACATGCACAGAAAACAGACACATGCACGAGATGGCTGACAGAGATATACAAGTAAAATAATTGAAGCATGGATATGTTTGAATAAGCAGTTACAGAGGAGAAGTGCGTTTGTGGGTGTGTGTGTATGTGGGGGGGGGGGGGGGCATTAAGATGAACTAAAAGCATCAATAAAAAAATTAAAATATATTGTATCCATCTTAATTGTAATAGAGATAAATGTGAGATGCCTCAAGAGTCCCACATTTACTTTGAACAGATAATGGTCATGATCACAACAGTCCCCTCCCTGATTTATCTTTCAGTAGTTGCCACTAACGCTCAACCATCGATACTGCGCTCTGTTTGCCTCAGAAGTCATAACATGATGTCACTTCCTAGTTTCCAATGTTTCTGACCAGACTAGCCGTTAAAGCCACTTGCGGTAATGTCATGAAGACAGGTGAGGCTCAGCCAAGTGCTTTGTTTATACTGAATGCGTACCTGCATCTGAGAACTGCATACCAACATGTATGGAAACCTACTAGAGTAAACTATTTCATACTGCACCCTTTCATATAGCTCAGGATAACTTTTTTATGTTTGATCTTTCTGTATACATTGCGATAAGCACTTTAACCATTACGAATTAAAAACACTTCTATTAGATGTACAAAAAAAACCTTTATATATATATATATATATATATATATATATATATAGTGTATATACAAACAGCACCTTTTATATCGGTGAGTTATTTTGATTGATGTCCGATATTTAACTTTATCGTTAATATCGGCCGAGCCAGATACCATGCCAATAATATCGTGCTTCCCTAATCTTTACATTTCCATCTACATAGTGGAAATAAAGGAATGATGATACTTGCTTTATTACTGAAGATAATCACTTATTTGTGCGCTCGGCTGTAAAGCTGGACATTAAAGTTGGAGCTGATGAGGTGCCTCCATTTTAATTTTATTTTAATTTCTTGTTCCACTGAAAACTTAAATTCTGCTGTTTGTCCTCAAAAAGGTGTTTTAAATGTTATGCACTTTTCACTGTACTCTACAGTTTGGGGGGTTAAGGATTCAGCATTTTTGCTGTGATGCTGCTTCAGTTGTATTTTTTTTATTTTACTCTTTAACTTGCATGACGTTATGAGCAATGTCAAAACTTCTAGGATGAAAAGAGCACAACTGAATCAATCACATGATTTCAGCAGCCAAACTTTATTAATATCAATACTTATAATAATAACACTGTATGCCCTTCTATTGATTTTCTCTTCACAAGTCCCCTGTTCAGTCACCATGTGTGACTTTACAGTTAATTAACTAATTAATTACCAAGCTAGCTGCTCTGTGAGCCTCAGTGTCCACCTTTATCAGCTCAAGCAGAGAAGTTCAGACCTGCAGGGGTGTTTTTATAAACTAACAGTGGGTTCACAGCTTTTACAGTGTAACAGTGATTGTCTCAAAGCCAGGAAAACAATGAAAACAAAACGAGGAGAACATGATTTGAGTCATTCGACACCTCAGTTTCTAAAACCAGAGTGGGCTCAGACTAACCAGCCTCTTCGTTTTAACAATAAAAGCAAATGAGAACATACCTTGTTCAACACTATCTATACTGCTGCTGTCCTGTGTCAGCTCCAGCTTTCTCTTTTTCCCGTTTAATATCCACCAAACCTCCGTCCGGCTTTCTGTTCCTTTTTTTCCCCCTCTAGTCTGGACTGAAAATGACTTCCACCCTGACAAAAGATAGTAGGCGGATCTTGAGTGTTTGGGCGGTCCCTTCAGCCAATCAGCTCTCGATGTGAGGAGGATATACTTTAGCGGACCAATCATATCTTGCTATCAAATAGAGCCGTCTGCTGATTGGTTGTCCCTGAAAAGGACCGCCCACCTGAAAATATGGGATTCTTCTACAAGTTCCATGTTACCTTCAAAACGTATGTATGCAAAGTATAAGTGTATAAGTATAGGATAGTTTTATATACAACGTTTTAATGACTGATAAACAATATTGTTCCTTTTTTTTATATTTTACACTGTTGTTTCCAGAATATCTGACCTATTTTCTTTTAAATAAATATGAATAATACTGTTTATTTAGAAGCAACACAAACAATGCTTAAGCCTATGTCAAATGTAGTTTAAATGTATAATTCATATAGAAAAAAAAAAATCTACAAAAAATAAAATTAAACATTTCAGGTGGAGTACATGTGTTTTGGAAATTCACACAACATTGGCGCCCCCGGCGGTGATTCAGTGAAAAGGTTTATAATTATCTATAGTTAATCACTTTTCATTCAACCTTTGTTTATACAGGCTAGTCTCATTGAGCCACGAGGACTCTTTTACTAGAGGGACCTGTTCCAGACAGAACATATAAAGTACAGACAACAATAACAAATCACAATCAGATTTATTGTCATTTTATGTAATCTTAAACAAAACTACGGGCAGCTTTTTGTCTAGTGCAAGTATCTACTAATGAGTTATTGCTGGACTGAAAAAGACGACTATGAAGAAATGTCACAGTATAAAAGACAATAAAAACCACCATAAGACCAATTTAAGACTACACTGACATAGAAGTCATGCCTAACACATGCATGAATAATATTAGATCATAAAAATGCTGAAATAAAGAATGAATGCTTCATTACTTTGCGTTGATCAACATTATAACTGCCCTGGCACAAAAGCTGCTCTTTAATGTGCGGTGCCTCCCAAATGAGAAGAATCTTTAATGAAGGTGTGTGCTCATTTTAAACGCCTGCAGATCTGTTCCAAGGTGGGGAGTTTGGTTGGCGCTTGGATTTAATGTTTCTTCTGGACCAAAGAGCCTCGTTTTTACATTCTCCTCCCACTGTGTTGTTTTTTTTTTTCTTTCTTTTTCAATCAAATATTCCATCCTACTATGCTTTAACAAAGTACGCACAATCTCTTTCATTGTGAATGGGTTAAGAGTCTGTACACAACTAGTGCTTTTTGAGCATGTCCTGAATATGAAGCCCAGGGAATGAAGATCCTCTGCTTCTAGTTATGGGTGACATGGTGGCACAGTTGGTGGAGCTGTTACCTCTCAGTGAGAAGGTCACTGGATCAAATCCCAGCTGGGGATCATTCTGGGTAGAGTTTGCATGTTATTTTTTGTGCATGTATGGTTTTCTTTGGGTACTCCAGTTTCCTCCCACACACCATAAACATGCATGTTAGGTTGATTGGTAACTCTAAATTGTTCCTAGGTGTGAGTGAGAGAGTGAATGGTTGTTTGTCTCGTTTGTCTCTATGTGTCCCTGTGATGGACTGGAGAGCTTCCCAGGGTGTACCCTGCCTCTCTCGCGCAATGATTGTTGGACACTGGGTACCAGTGAACCCCGTGACCCAAAAATGAAAAAGCAGATAAAGATAATGAATGGAAGATGATGGATGGATGGATTGATGGATGGCAAAAAAAGCCTAAAAATTCATTTTTGTACATAATGCACTCATAAAATTTGACATTTTCAGCTTATTTGAAGTTCCAAATTAGAACAAATTAACAGTGCAACAAATGGGTAGCATGGGTAAGCTACAGCCTTACCATACCATCCATCCATCCATCCATTATCTTTTACCCGCTTATTCCATTTTTGGGTCACGGGGGTCGCCGGTGCCCATGTCCAGCAATCACTGTGCGAGGGGCAGGGTACACCCTGGACGGGTCTCCAGTCCATCACAGGGACACATAGAGACAAACAAGACAAACAACCATTCACTCTCTCACTCACACCTAGAGACAATTTAGAGTTACCAATCAGCCTAACATGCATGTTTTTGGTCTGTGGGAGGAAACTGGAGTACCTGGAGAAAACCCACCCATGCACGGAGAGAACATGCAAACTCCACCCAGAAAGACCCCTGGACTGGGGTTTGAACCAGGGACCTGCTCGTTGAGAGGCAGCAGCTCTACCAGTTGCGCCACCGTGCTGCACTTTACCATACCATACCAGCTTTATTTATAGAGAACTTTAAACACCCACATGACCAAAGTGCTGTACACATAATAAAACAACCATACAATCAGATAATATAAAGCGATTAAAATGATTGAAAGTCAACATCTCAGAGGCCAATGAGAAGAGATGGGTTTTAAGAAGGGATTTAAAAACAGACAGGAAGAAGCCTGTCTGATATCCAAAGGAACAGGATCAGGAGGTTTTCCTGAGGACATCCTACTTGTAGACATTTTTTTCCCCACTCTTAACTGTTCAAAATATCACTCTCTCTGATACAATATTTAAATAAATATCAGTAATTATCACTAGATTGCAAAAGCATAAAATTCCTTTACTAAAACGCCAATGATAGTTGGCCTATGCTACATTAATACTATGATTTTCTGGCTTGATTTTTCATGTCGTGTTTACATTTTATGCAATAGTTATTAAGCTTCGACATAAAGTACTTTCAAAAAGAATAAAGCATTTGGATGTTTGAGAACACATTTATGGCATTACGAAACTTATGTGATACTATTTTTAGTCAAATCACTAATACATTTTTTTCGATGTCGAAGTTGTGACGAGTAAATAAATATACAAATAAATAAATACTATCCTTTCAAACGAATCAAGGGTAGTTTTATTCTGAAAAGCTCCAGCCGGAAATTGCGTGCACATGCAAGCGGAAAACTTGATAGTAGTGCGCTTTCTCGACCAGTACACAGGAAAAGCATACAGGTAAAAGCTTTAGGTGTTTTGGATACAAATTTGAGTTGTTGATAATACGTCATGTTTACTTTAACTACCGTCAACGCACTATACGACATGTTGCTGTTACGCCAGTAGCGTAGCGTTTGTTTTCAACCAGCCGTTATTGGTGTTTTTCGAAGTAAAGTTCACTTCTGTGTTAGCCATGGAGACTAGCCACCAACTAGCCGTTAGCTTAATATTAGCCTTGCTAACAAATGTTCCTAGCTAATGTCCCGTTACAGAAGAAATGGACTTCACATCTTAACAGCCTATTGGTTTGAACTCGTAAGGTGCTCCTTTGAGTTTTCGGTATAACATTTGCCAAGTTTTGCGGATCGTAGAACTGCAAATGCTACCCCAAGCTAAACTACAGGGCACAGAACTGACTGCTTCGTGTTAGCCAAGTAGCTAACATGACCTGGAACAGAGCTGTACCCACGCGCTCCGTTCAGCCCCGAGTTGTGGATGAAACTTTATGTAAATGTCAGATCCAGTAAACCTGCTGGAACGAAAAGTCTCTTGGGCGGTCTTATACGCTGTTTTATTTAATTTAACTATATTCATTTGTTTTAAATGCGGCCGAAGTATTTTAGATTCTTCATGTCTGTACTCCTTTTTCCTGACTTTTTGAAGTTGTTTAACTCGTGCTGGTGTAGAGTCAGTCATCCAGAACATGGTGATGCAGACCTTCCAGTTAACTTTACGGGGCTTTTTTTTTTTTCCAGTTTCGTTTTCGAGCAGGAACTTTGCTCCAGTTAAGCTAACAGTCAGACTTGACAATAGTGTTCCTGGGTGATTTAATCACAAGTGAACAAGTTTGGGTCTGATTAGTTCTGAATCGCTTTTTTATATGCAAATAAACACGCACGTGCTGTGTGGTGTGGCTGTTTATTTACCTTTAGCATGTACCTGAGCTACAACACAGAACACCAACAGGGCTAATGTCATGTAAAGTCTCCAGGCTTCAGCCATCTGAACTGTTTATTTTATTATGATCCAGTTCAGTCACGAGCTGCTCTTTTGTGAAGTTGTTTTCACAATTTTTGTTGAGCTCAGTTCTGTAACATAAACACTATTAGAGATAAATAAAGGGACAAATAATTGTGATATCACAGAGCTGTGTCAGTCAGCACTAGGACTGGGCGATATGGACCAAAATTAATATCTCGATATTTTAAGGTGAATGACGATATACGATATATAGCTCGATTTTTATTTTTTCTTTGCATAAAGTAATAACAAAAATGTATTTCTGAGTCAAAGCTTTGTCCCGGTTGTCACACAGACACATATAGTAAACAGCTGTAACTATACAAAATAAATGTCTAAAAAATAAACTATTTACATATATTAGTTTTATTTTTTAGACTTTTATTTACATATATTAAATAATAATCCTCTTCAACTGTGCTGCCTTCTCGACGTTAGTAAGAGTTTGAACTGCATCTGCAGCTCCGACAGACTTCCGCCTCCTTCCCTGAAGCAAACCACAGTATAAAACTCATTTAGCCGTGCTGCGCGTTATAAGAGGAAAAGTGAGAGTATATATTAATATGCAATATTAATAAATCAGCAGCTTATCATATCGCTAAAGATGCGGTCCTTACCTTAGCAGCTAACAAGACAGCTAACTTTAGGCATCTTGTTCCACAGTTGAGACTGGGACTGTGTCTTTAGAGCATATTATGTCAAACTCAAGGCCCGGGGGCCATATGTGGCCCTTGTTGACATCTTACCTGGTCCCCAAGATGTTATTTTAAATGTAAAATACTTTGTTCACTTATTTTTTTTCAGTAATCTTTGATTATGATGTCAAAAGTTTAACAGAGAATGTCAAATGAGACCAATCAAACTCTTGTTGAGGAACCTGCAACCAAGAAAAGATGTTGGGTATCCAACTTAGTTAATGTAGATTCTGAAACCGGCCCTTAGTTTGATAAAGGTTTTAATTTTAGCCCCCTTTTGTAAGTGGGTTTGACACCCCTGCTTTAGAGATATAAGCTGCTGATTTGTTCATGTTGCAGCACTACCTCTCACTATTCCTCTTATAACGCGCAGCACGGCTAAATGAGTTTTATACTGTAGTTTGCTTCAGGGAAGGAGGCTGAAGTCTGTCAGAGCTGCAGCTTATAACTTGTAGCGCTGTTTTAAATGGTGAAAAAGATTTGTAGTTCCGACCTTTTGTCGGGACTTGTTTTCGGCATCGTCTACAGAAAACATTTTTCTGCTACTCATTTGACAACTTAATCCAAACCATCTCCAAAATAACAGTCATTGTTTTTCTTTTTGCTCAGCAGCTAAGCTGCTCTTCATATCTCCCGTGTTTACTTGTTGTGCTAAACGTCTCCCGCCCACCTGGAGAAGCAGGAAGTGGGAGGAGCACACGTGGCTGAGGGGCTGAGTTTGTGAGGGAGAAAGAGAAGACAGTAGGCACATTTTCAAGTACAGTATAGCACTATATCGTTCTATCGATATAGTCTCATCTTATATTGTGAATGAAATTATCTCGATATTTTTAAAATCTCAAGATATCGCCCAGCCCTACTCAGCACAAAGACACGTTTTAGTCCACTGACAGATTGTCATGTGCTTCCTACATGGCCTCACTGTGAACACAAGTGTTGTGGACGTTTTGAGACACGTAACGTACTAAACTTTTAATGGTCGTTCACCAGCTAGTAGGCTTGAAGTTGTTACCCAGTCAGACAATGGCTTTAGCTCAGATTGTTGTTCTGTGCACAGCACATTTTACAATATGATGACAGATTGAGATGAAACTGTTTAAAAAGTTTATATCACGAGTTCATCAAGATGAATTATGACATTTGAAAAATGTCTTAAATGTCCAACATGTGAGCAAAATTTAGCAGCAGAACTTGTGGTGAAGAGACTACCGGTATGTACAGTACAGTAAGTCTTCGAACCGACATGCACATTTAACAAAACTATGAAATGGCCAATAGTTTTAAATTCTACATGTTAGTGGTTGCTAAACTTGGACCTTGTTAACGAGAGTAATAAATCACTGTCCATGTTAGACATGTTTAGAACTTCTCTGTTTAAAATTGGCTTTTAATAGTTTTGCTAGATCAGTGCAAATTTCTCAGCAGCGTATAAAACTGCTTCTTGTTGTGCTGATGCTTTTTCATATAAATTGATGGCTTTGTGTTTGCCAAGGGTTAATTAAACCACTAGTTGTAAAATGGCTAGTACAGTACTCCTTGTTTGTTTTTGTTTTTTGTGCGCACAAAAAAACCACTATCTGAACATCTTTCTTCAGCAGCTAAGTTTAATAAAATCCAAAATGCAGTTGAATAGTCAAAAACGTACCCGCAGTTTTTATTGGCATGGTAATTGGAATTTAAGCTTAAAATGATAACCATAAATGTGTTGCCATGGTTACTATAAAAATCTGTTTGATGCCCAGTGACCACAGCCAGTCAACTCCAAAAACAATCAGAGCAAAGAAAACAGAGAAAATTTACTCCCAACAGCTTCTGTCAATCGACACAATCTGTATAATATTTTTTTGACAAGTATTCCAACAATTGTTAGAAGTTTTGTGACCTTTGAAGTGACAAAATCCACAAAGATACAGTGAGGACAATAAGTATTTGAACACCCTGCGACTTTGCAAGTTCTCCCACTTAGAAATCATGGAGGGGTCTGAAATTTTCATCTGAGGTGCATGTCCACTGTGAGAAACATAATCTAAAAAAATATCTGGAAATCCCAATGTAAGATTTTTTAAATAATTTGTGTGTTACTGCTGCAAATAAGTATTTGAACACCTGTGAAAATCAATGTTAATATTTGGTACAGTAGCCTTTGTTTGCAGTTACAGAGGTCAAATGTTTCCTGTAGTGTTTCACCAGGTGTGAACACACTGCAGCAGAGATTTTGGCCCATTCCTCCACAGATCTTCTCTAGATCAGCCAGGTTTCTGGGCTGTCGCTGAGAAACACGGAGTTTGAGCTCCCTCCAAAGATTTTCTATAGGGTTCAGGTCTGGAGACTAGCTAGGCCACTCCAGAACCTTGATACGCTTCTTACGGAGCCACTCCTTGGTTCTCTTGGCTGTGTGCTTCCGGTCATTGTCATGACGACCCAGCCACGACTAGGAATGCGTGATATATACGGTATGCGGTAGAAACGATAGAAATTTAGTCTACGATAGAGATCTGTCTTCTACCGGCTAACCACAGTAATGCTGTCTGATGTAAAATCAGAGTTGTCAGTTTAATCATTACTTTTTTTGGTTGAAAACTGTGCGCAAGTGGTGTTAGTCTTTTCTTTGAGGGCTAAGTAGCGAAGCTACAAGCTAACTACAGCCGGCTTGCTGTAGTGTTGCCGTATTCTGACGCATGCGCAAAACGCTGTGTTCCGTCAAAAGTTTTTTTTTTTTTCTGCCAAAAGTCAAAGTAAGCGTTGGTCATCTTTAGAGAAACCTGCTCTCTGATCTGTGAAAGAACTCTGTGTTGTGTGATTTTACTGTGAGACCCTCTGGTCAAAGCCACAGACTCATTTTGTGTCAGCTCTCCATTAAAGCAGGAGTCGCCCACTAGAGGTTTGGAGGATGAAGTGTTTCAGTGTAACATTCTGCTCTGTTGCTGTTCATTTCTTAAGTGAGAAGACTGGAAACTGTTAAGTTAACAACATATACTTTTGTTTAAAACATGTGGCTAAAACTACATTTTATATATTTTGCACTGTTTTGCATTACAAGAAGGAAGCCTAATACTTGATTTGTTTATTTAAAATCTCTCTGGACCTAGTAGTGGAATTTTTTTAATTCAAAATATGATAGCAAAAGGACACCCAACACTTTAAAAAAAAATTCCTATTAAGTTTTATACCCAAAACATATCGCAATATATATAGTTATCGCCACCCTTCACAATACATATAGTGATATGAATTTTATGCCATAACGCACATTCCCAGCCACGACCCATCTTCAATGTTCCAACTGAGGGAAGGAGGTTGTTCCCCAGAATCTCTCACTACATGGCCCCGGTCATCCTCTCCTTAATACAGTGCAGTCGTCCTGTCCCATGTGCAGAAAAACACCCCCAAAGCATGATGCTTCCACCCCATGCTTCACAGTAGGGACGGTGTTTTTGGGATGGTACTCATCATTCTTTGTCCTCCAAACACGGCGAGTGGAATTAAGACCAAAAAGTTGTATTTTGGTCTCATCTGGCCACAGAACTTTCTCCCATGACTCCTCTGGATCATCCAAATGGTCATGGGCAAACTTCAGACGGGTCTGGACGTGTGCTGATTTAAGCAGGGGAACCCTCCGTGCCATGCATGATTTTAAACTATGACGTCTTAGTGTATTACCCACAGTAACCTTGGAAACAGTGGTGCCAGCTCTCTTCAGATCATTGACCAGCTCCTACCGTGTAGTTCTGGGTTGATTCCTCACCTTTCTTAGGATCAGTGATACGCCACAAGGTGAGATCTTGCATGGAGCCCCAGTCCGAGGGAGACTGACAGTCATGTTTAGCTTCTTCCATTTTCTAATAATTGCTCCAACAGCTGATCTTTTTTCACCAAGCTGCTTGGCAATTGCCCTGTAGTCCTTTCCAGCCATGTGGAGGTCTACAATTTTGTCTCTGGTGTCTTTGGACAGCTCTTTGGTCTTAGCCATGTTAGTAGTTGGAGTCTTACTGATTGTGTGGGGTGGACAGGTGTCTTTATGCAGCTGTAATTTGCCTTATTGTCAGCCAATAGATGTCAGACCACACGATGATCATTCTGTTCATTTACTAACCCTGCTTTGCTTTGTACATTTATTAGAACACATAAAGACACAGGATGACCACGGGGAGATGTATAATTAAAAATAGCTAAAAGGATAAATCATGCTGAGCTTGAATATTTTCTTAATTTACCTGATTCATTATGTTTGTAGTTTTGATCAGCACTCATGGAGGCGACTGGAGTTTGTGAGATTGAGTTGCCGAGCCGAAGAATAGTGGGTGGCAGTGATTCTCCTCCAGACCTGGACAGCCCGAGTCAGGTAAATATTGACAAAATTTCAACGTTGAGGAAGTGATAGTGGATAATTTGTCATGTTAATCATATTAGTTCATTTTTCTTGTCTGTAAATATTGCTGGATTGGTCACAACTTTTTCTTTTAAACAATAAAGTCATTATTTTAAAAGCCAAAACATAAGCACAAAAAAGTACAAATACAGAATAACTTAATCCACTTCTTCTAGTGGACTTTGTAGAAAATTTAAAGTGCAAAATGTCTCCTTTTAATTTCTTTAAGGTTTTCTGGCTGCTTTGTAACAAAACATTTGTGTTTTGAATTAGGAGGAGGTGGAGGAGTTTCATTTAGATTTGTGCTGCACTGGGGAGGAGAGGGGAGAAACTCCAGGAAGTGAGGACAGTCCCAGTGATCTGGGGGAGGCAGAGCATGATCCTGGGGAAGACACCAAGACTACAGAGGACAAATCCTTTGGTAGGAGCACCACAGTTTATCTTAAAGTGAAACATAGTGCTGCACATTTCCATTTTTTTAAATAAAATTTATTTCCAGTTCACACAGCCCAGATTTAATTTTACTGCTAGTTCCACCTGTATGCGAGAGTTAAAATGACCTGTTTGACTTACACAGGTGTGTGACGTGGAAATACTGATTAGTGCACACTACATACATTTTAACATTAAGTACCCTTGCAATGTATTTTTTAGTCTTTTATTTTCTGAAGGTTTTGACTGCTAGTAAAGAACTTTAAGATGAAAAGTAGTTCACTGCTTTTTAATTATTTTACTGTTCTATTATTTACTTTTTCTTCTGGTAAGTGATATAGTTGAAAATGCACTGCTTTTAGTTTTATGGATCAATAACTAATTTCAAATTTTTGTATCTCTGACCTAACAATAAAAATGTTATCCAAATCTGATTTTGGCAACAAAATAAAGAATTATAGTTACAAGTATATAGATTTTCTTAATTTCATCTAACAATTTTTACAATCAAAAATAAAATTCATAAATTATTTCTCTGTCAATGGACACCCATGAATAACGTCCATGTTGCTGGACAGAGGTTATTGTACAAATAAAACAAAAATAATTGATTTTGTTTCCTTGTTGCTTCTGTGGTAGCCACCCATTTTTCTGAAGACCCTTTTTTTTTTTATTAAAGAAATTAGAAATCCCGTGAGCAGAATATTAATTTTGACCACAGCTTTTCCAACATCAAATTCTAGAAAGACTACTGCATTTTTTAAAAACTTTTTTCTCCACTTCAAACATAGGGAAGGAGGTTGTTCTCTTAATGCAAGCCCTTAACTCTCTAACTACACCGGAGGAGAAACTTGCTGCTCTGTGCAAGAAATATGCAGACCTGGTAAGATCCTGAATGCCTGCATTTGAACAACTGAACATAATGTTAACATAAATGTTATGAGTCTCATGGGGAAATAAAAGCTTTTTTTATTCCAAAAGCTTAAAACTTAAACAGTTTAATTGTAAAGTGTCAATTTGTTGTTAATGGGTGTGTGGTTTGTTCAGCTGGAAGAGAGTCGAGGTATGCAGAAGCAGCTGAAAGTCCTGCAGAAAAAACAATCCCAGATTGTAAAGGAGAAGGTCCACCTGCAGGGGGAACACAGCAAAGCCATTCTGGCCCGCAGCAAGCTGGAGAGTCTCTGTCGAGAGCTGCAGAGGCACAACAAGACTCTGAAGGTAAAATATACATAAATATCTCTTTCTCCTCCCCCCCCCCCCCCAGTGAAATTTATTTCACTAACAATAACTTCAGCTGGCATAAATGATTTTTATAAAGCTCTGACTTGCAAGAGCATATTTATTCACTTCTTGCAGAAAATAAATCCAACTTGAGGCCTGTTCAGTCTGAAGTGAATCTCTTGGGCTTTTGTCATTTTTCTGAGCATTGTACAGTCTGACATTGGGGTGAGATGCTGGGGCCGTTCTATCGTTGCTGCAGCTTAGGGGTATTTCATTTTAGTGCCACTGTTGAGCTGTGCAAAGACTTACGTGTTCCTTCATTTGCTACATGGCAGGAGGAGAACGCCCAACGGTCCAGGGAGTATGAGGAGCAGCGCAAGGAGGCCATGCTTCACTTTCAAATGACGTTGGGTGATATTGAAGTGCAGATGGAGCAGCACAGCTCACACAACTCCAAGCTGAGACAGGAGAACATGGAGCTGGCTGAAAAGCTCAAAAAGCTCATTGAGCAGTACGAGCTGAGGGAGGAGGTGAGACGGCACAAAACTGCTTCATTTTCCTTTAGTTGGTTAACTACGACTGTGCTGGTAATCACGTGTTACATTAAAACAATTATGAAAGTATGTTTTAGCGACATCCTGAATCAAATAAAATACTATAATTGTCCAGTGTCCCATGAAATACTGAGATCTTGGTGGTATTGTTCTATAATTTCCAGACTATTGAGCGCACCTGGATGTAATATGCACCCACTAACATAAAAAAAGAAAAAAGTACATATGTAGGCCACACTTTATAAGCTGCAGGTGTCCACGTTGTACACAGAAAGTTTTTTTTTAACTTTTAATTAAATACTGGTAACATACACAAATACACACATTAAATGTTTTTTTTTTTTTCTGAACAGTGCCTGTAACACAGCTGGTTAAAAACTAAAATAAAATGCAGTAGCCTACCAGGAAAAGTTATTGAACACTATCTTCATCTTCCTCCTGTGCACTAAAACCACTGAAGTCCTCTTCAGTGTCGGAAGTGAACAACCTCAGAATGACTTCATCACACGCGTCCTCGCTCTCTTTCATTGTCGCTCTCAACGTCACTTTCGTCTTGAGGCAGATTTGCACTTGAGCTTGTGCTGTCCTCCTCATCACACAGCAGTCCGGTCTTTTGAAACCTGTTGGTGATGGTGGATTTTTTCAGGATCCACTGGCAGACTTGAGCAAAAGTTGTTCTTCGCATGCAGCCAGTTTTGGTGAACGATTTCTCACCGCTAGTCATCCAAGCCTCTCGCCAAACTCGGAGTGCCACGTTAAATGTAGCGGCTGTGGCTGAGTGGTTAGAGCAGTCGTCCTTCATTGCAAGAGTTGGGAGTTCGAATCCACCAGCAGTCACATGCCAAAGTGTCCCTGGGCAAGACACTGAACCCCTCATTGCCTCTGATGTGTGTCCCATCAGTGTGTGAATGTGATAAAGCTCTGATTAGTCTCTTTAGAATGATTTGTTCAATTAACTTTGTATAGATCTAGTAGAGTGATGAATGAACGGGTAAATGAGGCACAGATTGTAAAAGTGCTTTTGAGTATCTTGATCAGATAGAAAGGCGCTATATAAGTACAGTCCATTTAAATGCACGATTCACACTTATGTTGAGCAGCTGCAAATACTTGGTTGTGTCTCCGGGGATCACGTATTTCACGTGACCATGAGACGCGTTTTGGGCATCTATGCAAGTGTCCGGGTGTGACGAGGCTAAATGTTTTGGTGGCATGAAGCTCATTAGCCTGTGAAAATCCATAAATTAGCTGCAGTTTTCAAAGCATGGGGGAAAAAGGTAGTGGCATTTAGTCCGGAAATTACGGTAAATGGGTTAGCACTGGTAAGTAGTTACGCGTTTATACTATGTTCACACTGAGTCATTAGTCAAGTCACTATGAGTCACTAATCACCATGAGTGACTAGGTTGGTGTAGTTACATAACTACATAGCTTAAGTCATCATTAATGTCATGTTTTGACTTATTTGAAGCTTCTTAAATGCAAAACCGTCTTAAAACCAGTGCTGGAAATGGAAATATATTTAGATAAAACTATAATCTGTGTAGATTCTGACTGTTCATCGTGTCACTGTTAGTAATTCCCTCTGGCTTGTTCTTCTTGCAGCACATTGACAAAGTGTTCAAGCACAAGGAGCTGCAGCAGCAGCTGATGGATGCCAAGCTGCAGAGAATCACTGAGATGATGAAAGAAGTTGAGGAGAAGCAGCTGCGAGAGAGAGAATTTGTAAGGGTTTATATCTGACTCCTGTTGTTTTTCTTCATGTTGTCATAAAGCCAGGGCTTTTAGCCAGAGGTTAGAAAAGATGAATCAGGTTCAGGATCAGTGTTGGTCTAAAAGTGTTACTTGTGAGAGCTAAACGTTTGTCTGTGCTTCAGCTGCTGAAGGATGCCACAGAGTCTCGACACAAGTGTGAAATGATGAAGGAGCAAGAGATACAGCTTAAACAACAGGTGAGCGCAACGCTGGTGTTTGTTGTACCTCGCATGCAGTATAACAAGTATAATTTGTATTAATAAAACTTTATAGGAATTTATGGTCTAAATTTACTGTTATTCTCACGAGTTCAGGAAAAAACAATTTTGTTTTGTCTCTCAGCTCTCGCTGTATATGGACAAGTTTGAAGAGTTTCAAAGCACTTTGGCCAAAAGCAACGAAGTCTTCACTACTTTCAGACAAGAGATGGAGAAGGTGAGGGTGAGAGGAAGGAGTAAAAGATAAAAACATTTGTATTTTCATAGTGTATAAATGAATTTAGAGAGTAGAAAGGTAAATAACAAAGTCCATGCTCAATAATCCAGGTATACAATCCTACTGAACAGATGACCTGACTGAAAAATGTTGGATAGAAAGGTAAATGTTCGCCTCTTACTCCTCTGCCACCTGTAAATCTTTTTGTTCTTTTCCAGATGACCAAGAAGATCAAAAAGCTGGAAAAGGAAACAACCCAGTGGAGGACCAAATGGGAGAGTAACAACCAGGCTCTGCTGCAGATGGCAGAGGAGGTGAAGTTCATTTTAGTTTATTCAGATCAGTTGTTTTTTTTTAGCACCAATTCACAACAAACATCACCTCGAGGCACTACGCAAAAAGAAACCAGTCAAAATTATATTAAACTACATGCAGTCCAGATCTGTTTAAGTCAGATCCCGTGTCATGACCCACTCTTCTGTTAAAAGGCAGACATTGTTGTATAGTTACTGTCTGTATGTACGTCTGTAAACTTTCTATTGTCCAGCTCGTAACTTCTGATCTGCGCAAAAAAATTAACAAAAACATGATACACACGTGTCGTCACTAGACGGAGTGTCACATGTACTTTTCATCACCCCAGCTCCAAGGTGATGACAAATCAAGCTCAAAAGTTAGACAAGCTTTTCCAGGCTGTTGCTATAGATTTCTGTATTGTTGTATAGTAGTTTGATGAAGGGTGCTGATGAAGATTCTCAGTCATCCAGGACATGATGAATTCAAAAAAGCATTCAATACAAAAACGACTGGACTTTATTTGTAACAGAAGACGTTTTGCTCCTCATCCGAGGAGCTTTCTCAATTCAAAGAGCAGAGAGTGAGATATTCAGCTTATAATCTGAATCTCTCACTCTCTGCTCTTTGAATTGAGAAAGCTCCTCGGATGAGGAGCAAAACGTCTTCTGTTACAAATAAAGTCCAGTTGTTTTTGTATTGAATGCTTTTTTGAATTTGTTGAAGGGTATTTAATGTAGTTCAAGTTCAAGAATCTTTATTATCCCCTAGAGGCAATTTGTTTCACAGTCAGTAGATACACAAAACATTCATACTAGACGAGGCATTAAAATAACAGTACAGAAATCATCATTGTTCATTGAGAAGCTTGATCGCTACAGGGATAAATGAGGTTTTCAGTCTGTTCAGTCTTCATCTGGGCAGCAGATACCTGCATCCAGATGGAAGCAACCTGAACTCACCATGTAGTGGATGATCAAGATCTGCCAGAATCAGCCTGGCCTTTTTCACTGACCTCACCTTGTGTAGGTCAGTGAGGTTCTGTAGGGCTATGCCAGCACTTTGCTGCACAACCTGACAATGCATGTAGTACTCTTGAGTTCAGGGTTCAAGGATTCAAGGTTTTTTATTTGTCATTCACACCACATGTAATGTGGCATAATGTTTTTATGCTACTAGTGTTTAGTGTATATTTAGTTGATGTTTTTCTTAGTTCATATCTTAGATCTTATTACTGTTGTTCTTTTACATTTTATTGTTGGATGTAATTGGGACCCTGTGTACATAATTTCGTTCCACCACATGTACCACATGAGGTGCGAATGACGAATAAAGAACCTTGAACATGTGGTGGAACGAAATTGTGTACACAGGGTCCCAGTTACATCCATCCATCCATTTTCTTCCGCTTATCTGGGGTCGGGCCGCGGGGGTAGCAGCCTAAGTAGGGAGGCCCAGACTTCCCTCTCCCCAGCCACTTGGGCCAGTTCCTCCAGGAGAATCCCGAGGCGTTCCCAGGCCAGCCGAGAAACATAGTCCCTCCAGCGTGTCCTGGATCTTCCTCTGGGTCTCCTCCCAGTGGGACGTGTCCGGAACACCTCACCAGGGAGGTGTCCAGGAGGCATCCTGACCATAGATGAGGGTAGGAACGTAGATCGATCGGTAAATTGAGAGCTTCACATTTTGACTCAACTCTCTCTTCACCACGACAGACCGGTACAGCGTCCACTTCACTGCCGACACTGCACCTATCTGCTTGTTGATCTCTGGCTCCATTTTTCTCTCATTCGTGAACAAGACCCCGAGATACTTAAACTCATCCACTTGGGACAGGACCTCCTCCCTGACCCGGAGAGGGCACTGTACCTTTTTCCGGCTCAAGACCATGGCCTCGGATTTTGAGGAACTAAGTTACATCCAACAAAAGTATTAAAATTAGGGATGCACAATATTGGATTTTTGGCTGATATGTCAATATGTTAAAACTTATTCGGCCGATACCGATATTTTATACATGTTCCTTTGTCAGAACATAACCCTCTTATTTAGGCTTATTTGCTACAAAAATTGTGCAACAGCTGTAAGAGCTGGTGACATATATTCGTAACAGCCATATGATATGCATAGCACTTTAACTTATATTAAATGAAAACTGTTAAATGTTATTTATTAGCATTAGTCACCTGTGATGCTGTCTCACTTGTGGAGGCTTGTTCCAGGTTCCTAGCTGCAGTGTGGGATCCTCTGCACTCTGTGCATGAAGGAAAAACTTTTAAGTTCAAAGTTTTTGTGTATCCATTGTGTCATAAGACTAATCATATCAACGGTGCTAAAACGACGTCCAAATGTTACGTCAGAAAAATATCTCCGACTGGGGAGGATGTAGCGAGACTCAACATAGTCCATAAATCTTTGGAATCCGACATCCTCACCAACAAAAAATAAAACTTCCACACCGCCGACATTTTGAATTTTCCTCTCCGCTGTGAGATCGAGTAGGCACGTGTGACATCATCACACTGTGCTGCTGCTGCAGGCAAAAACAGCGCTTTTTATATCTGCGAGTTATTTTAATGGAATGGCCGATGTCCGATATTGAAATTTAACACTAGTATTGGCCGATACCATGCCGATAATATTGTGCATCCCTAATTAAAATGTAAAAGAAAAACAGTAATAAGATCTAAGATATGAGCCAAGAAAAATGTTAACTAGAAACATACTAAGCACTAATAGTACAAAAACAATACGCCAAACAGCAGCACGAACACGAGTCCATGTGAGCAGATGAGCACGGATGAACACAACAACATGAAACAGATCAGCAGCAACATGAAACAGATCAGCAGCAACTTGATGTGATTTTCACAGTGATTATTCTTATTAGAGATTCATGAGTCTAACAGCCTCAGGGTAGAAGCTGTTCCTCAGTCTAGTGGTTCTACACTTAATGCTCCTTATCCTCCTTCCTGAGGGGAGCGGGGCAAAAAGTGTGTGTAATGGGTGAATGTGGTCCTTCATGATGCAGGTGACTCTCTTCCTGCATCTGGAGGTGTAGATGTCTGTGATGATGGAGTTTTTTTTGTAACAAAAGAAAAAGCAATCGCATACAAATTAGTTGTCAAATTACCATATCTTCCAAACTGTTGTTCCTAAGCTCCTCTGTGTTCCTGGAACTTTGTGTTGTAGAAAACTCTGCGTGACGGCCACTTTAAAGCCCTTCAGAAGAAGCTGGAGCTGTTGGAGCGATTGTGCCGGGCTCTGCAGAAAGAGAGGAATGACCTGAGTAATCAGGTCGGCCTCCTCCAGGAGCAGGGAGGCGAAGGGACAGCTGCTGCTGCCACCGCTCAGCAGCAGCAGCCCTCAGTCATGGAAGAGGAAGACGACGACGAACAGGAAGAAGACTCTGAGAATTCGGTACAGAGCGAAGAGCTGGAGACTGCAGGCGTCCATGAAGCTGGCAGGCAGCCTGAAACAGTGTCCTTACCGGCTGCTGATGACAAAACACCAACGAGCAGCCAGACGGCAGAAGCACCAGCCACACCACAGGACTGAATAAACCCACCTGGTGTGAGTGTGGAGGTGAGGAGGGTGTGATGGGAGGGTCCGACAGTCTTGGGAAAGGACACAAACGTCTTTATTAAAAATGGAAATTTTTAAAAACTTTTTTTTTTTCAGATTCTATAAAACAGCTGAACCCATATCTTTTTGTTATAATGTTTCACTCAATAAAATGATTGTATAATGATTCTCTACTAAAACTTTGCCCACGTATACATTTGGTTGTTAATCAGTTTTGTGACGAGCACTTGGTGTTCCCCATTTCTACCATAACTGCGTTTTCATACAGCGCTTCATAGAATTGAGTCTAAACTGTTGAGTATTTTTGCGTTTTTGTTTTTTATTCTGTAGCGTCAAACCTAGGTGAAATGACCTCCAACATGTACAAACCGGATTCCAAAAGAGTTGGGACACTAAACAAAATATGAATAAAAACTGAATGCAATGATGTGGAGGTGCCAACATCTAATATTTTATTCAGAATAGAACACAAATCATAGATCAAAAGTTTAAACTGAGAGAATGTATCATTTTAAGGGAAAAATCTGTCGTTTCCAAATTTCATGGCGTCAACAAATCCCAAAAAAGTTGGGACAAGTCCATTTTTACCACTGTGTGGCATCCCCCCTTCTTCTTACAACACTCAACAGACGTCTGTGGACAGAGGAGACCAGTTTCTCAAGTTTAGAAATAGGAATGCTCTCCCAGTCATGCCTAATACAGGCCTCTAACTGTTCAATCGTCTTGGGCCTTCTTTGTCGCACCTTCCTCTTTATGATGCGCCAAATGTTCTCTATAGGTGAAAGATCTGGACTGCAGGCTGGCCATTTCAGTACCCAGATCCTTCTTCTACGTAGCCATGGTGTTATGATTGCTGCAGAATGTGGTCTGGCATTATCGTGTTGAAAAATGCAGGGTCTTCCCTGAAAGAGATGACGTCTAGATGGGAGCATATGTTGTTCTAGAACCTGAACATAGTTCTCTGCATTAATGGTGCCTTTCCAGACATGCAAGCTGCCCATGTCACAAGCGCTCATGCAACCCCATACCATCAGTGATGCAGGCTTCTGAACGGAGCGTTGATAACGACGTGGGCTATCCTTGTCCTCTCTGGTCCGGATGACATGGCGTCCCAGTGTTCCATAAAGAACTTCAAATCGTGACTCATCTGACCACAGAACAGTCTTCCATTTTGCCACACTCCATTTTAAATGACCCCTGGCCCAGTGCAAACGTCTGAGCTTGTGGAGCTTGCTTAGAAATGGCTTCCTCTTTGCACTGTAGAGTTTCAGCTGGCAACGGCGGATGGCACGGTGGATTGTGTTCACTGACAATGCTTTCTGGAAGTATTCCTGAGCCCATTCTGTTATTTCCTTGACAGTGGCTTTCCTGTTTGAGGTGCAGTGACATTTAAGGGCCCGGAGATCACGAGCATCCAGTAGTTTTACGACCTTGACCCTTACGCACAGCGATTGTTCCAGATTCTCTGAATCTTTTGATGATGTTATGCACGGTTGATGATGATAACTTAAAGGTCTTTGCTATTTTATGCTGGGTAACACCATTCTGGTTTTGCTGCACTGTCTTTCTGCGCAACAATGGTGGAATTGGTGATCCTCTTACCGTCTTGGCTTCTGAGACACTGACACTCTGAGAAGCTCTTTTTATACCCAATCATGTTGTCAATTGACCTAATTAGTGTTAATTGGTCTTCCAGCTTTTCGTTATATGCTCAATTTCCTTTTTCCAGCCACTTATTGCTACTTGTCCCAACTTTTTGGGGATTTGTTGACACTGTGAAATTTTGAATCAACATATTTTTCCTTTAAAATGTTACATTTACTCAGATTAAACTTTTGATCTGTCATTATGTTATATTACAAATAACATATTGACATTTGCCATCTCCACATCATTGCATTCAGTTTTTATTCACAATTTGTTTAGTGTCCCAACTTTATTGGAATCCGGTTTGTACGTCGCTGCAGGAGCAATCTGTGTTTATACTTCTGCTGTTAGATCCATCACACAGAAGTTGTTTTCTGTCAGCAGTCTTTCATTGGCTTGACCTTTGTGCCTGATAAAATTATGAAGTTTAACTTCTACAATTACAACTTATCACTAAACATAAAGATGTTCTTTCAGTTAAATGATTTTTTGCCCAAACTGTGCACACAATTTGAAACTAAGTGAACAGAAACTTCTGATACTTGCCTAGCACCCAGCTGTGCACGTCGGATCATAGTTCAGCACCGCGGGAAGCATATAGAAGACAAGCTGATTGCAAGGCTACATTTCATGTAACGTCTCAAGATATTTGCTGTCCTCTTTAGATTTTATCTTCATGTTTTTCATCTACTAAGTGATGAGGTTATAGGCGGTTTGCTGCTCACTGTGGGTCAATTTAAAAATCATTTTCAGTGCATCTCGGGTCAGTGATCGAGTTTTTGTGGCGTAAGCATAGATACCAGTGCTTCAGATTGTTTCAGCTCATAACTTCACTGTTAACTGCAGTTATATGTGCTGTAATTTCCGGACTGTTGAGTGCGCCAGAATATAAGCCACGCCCACTAAATTTAAAAAGGATAAAACATGGTACATATATAGGCCGTACTTGTGTATAAGCCACATGTGTCCATGTTGTTACATGAGATATTTACACAGATTTTTTAAAACTTTTAGTTAAATATGTACTGGTAACATACGCACAGTGAATGGTTTTTTTTTTAACAATGCCTTTAACATGGCTGGTTAAATTATTTTTTTATATCTATTCAGTAACTTACCAGGAAAAGTAATTGATTGCTATGTTCATCTTCCTCCTGCGCACTAAAACCACTAAAGTCGTCTTCTCATTCATTCTCATACATCCCCCCCCCCCCCCTCCTTAGTTAAACCAAGTTTCATTGGTCCACAGTGCGAGCGCCCGAGTAACGAGGCTAAATGTTTTGGTGGCATGAAGCTTAGTAGCCTATCCAATAAAAAAAAAATCCATAAATTAGCCGCAACATTGTATTAGCCGCAACGTTGTATAAGCCGCAGTGTTCAAAGTGTGTGAAAAAAGTAGTGACTTATAGTCCGGAAATTACGGTATTTTATTTTGACATACAGGGAAACTGGAGCAAGAAACAAAAAATACAGCTGGAGCCATGTTTGATGTGGTCAGGACAACATTAGAATGTACTGGTAATGAAGGCAGCAACAAGTGAAGTCAGCATGGCGTACCAGAGAAACAGTCTCAGATCCATGTCCCCCTTATTATCATTTTAAAGTAAATTATGTTCATGACAGAACAACAAATTGTCAAGCTTTGCTTTTTAAATTAAAATGTTGATTTCAAACATCGGTGAGTAACATTAGAGGTCTAAGGCTAATTAATTGTACGTTTATTAACTCGTTGTTAAATGACTTGATATGAATGTAAGAAATACCAGCAGGGTCAGTTCAACTTTGTAAAAAAATCTTGTTAGTCACTTCACATCTCTGCATCATTTGCACTTTTAATTAGCAGTTCTCTCGTCGGAGCTTTCATTTCACTCCATTCGCTCGTAACGGTCATTTTGTTGGTGACCCACAGCGTCTTTAACAAAGCATTTAGTTCAGAGGTTCTCTGATACTCCTGTAACTTTTGTTTTCCCACGCCTGTGCATCGTCACATGACTGATCAGCAATCATCTTTTCGACTGCGGTCAAAGACCAGATCAGTACGTTGTGAAGTCACAGCCGACCGTTTCATTTGAGCTCGTGCCCGTTGAAAAACGGTGAATGTGCAACATGTTTGATTTTTAATCGAGGTCTGGTCTTTCCACCTTGCTCCTCACGCTGATTTCACACTAGACCTAAATGTGCAGGGTAGGCGTGCCCAAGCTGAGTTTTCCAGCCTCTACTTCTTTCTTTGGCATTGCCCCAGGTCGACTCAGGTAATGTCAGAATCTACCTCTGCAGGTGAGGATGTCAAAGCAAGGCCAGAAGTCAGCAGAGCTTTGGAGTGCTTTGTTTTTACAAAAAAAAAAAAAGGATAAGGCCACACCCCCTTCTTGATTGTACAATGTTCTTTAGTTCCATCTTTACTTTTCAATAAACGTTTTTTAGGAAACTGTGATTTCTTCAGATTTCTTTCGGCGCTGTAAGACTTCCTGAGCCAACCTAGTCTGAGAGAAGTTAATGGAAATAAAAAGTTTTTAAATGACACTTTTGAAAAGTTACAAAAGCTTTATTGCAGTATGTGGTGCAGAAAACAGAAACACTACAATTTCACGTTGTGTAATATTGTAACAATCCCTTACTGTTCACACAAACCAAATCCCCGAGTGTTTCTGTACCTTGAAGAGGCAAACCAACAGGGACTGATTAAAATGTTAGCTAACAGTAACACAGCAGCCAGAAGAGCTCAAAGTGGGAGAAACAGAGCTTTAATGGACGTGACCAGCGTGGTTCAAAGTTGTCATTTACTAACAGATTTTTATGTCCAAGTTTAAAAAAAATGTTTTCTGCCAACTTGCAGACATTTTCTTTTCAAGTCACTTTTCTTGCATAAGCCCTTTAAAATTAGCAGATTATGAAAATAGTATTTTTTTTAACAGAAAAGATTTTATGCTCTTTCAAACTTCTTTTAGCACAAAATACTTCTATACAAATACTGGAGATGAATCCACCTGAGAGGGTCAGCGTTTTGAATCCTAAACTCCAGCCAGACGTTAAGTGCCTTTTATTTTGGAATCCCTGGGCTTGGTTAAGTTTTAAGCATAAAGATCTTGAATCCAAAAAAAAAATGCTAGACTGGGGAGCAAGCAGCTTGATGGCCGTGAATCGTTTTGGACTTGAGGTGGACCAGAGACGGCGCTGCACTCCGGGGCTCAGGGACTGGACAAGAAGCTGTGCCTGGGCAGAACCCTGCGTGGAGCCTGAGCCCTCACCCCTGAGCCTCCAGCTCTGCTGCGGGGGTGTTGTCTGGCTCTTCGTCATTGAAGATGTTCTCCGCCTGGAAAACAGAGGGGCCAAATAATGTCCAAGAGTTAGTAGAACAAACTTCCTTTCATGCTACAGATGTGAGACTGCACAGAAAGCTGCAGTTTGGTTTCTACACCGCTCATATTAAGAAGCTTTCAAAGTGAATTTTAAATACATTGTCAGGTCAACGTCCTCCAATCAACCAGTGACTTCATGCTGCAAAGGTACAGACCATTTCTTTTAAATCTCATTTTAATGTTCCTAAACCTACACGTTAGTTGTTGCCAAACAGAAACTTTATGTGTTTGTTATATAAAAACTATTCACCATTTGCCAGACTTGCATAATGTTGTCCTCGGACACGGAGCAGATGATCCAGGGTTCATTTGGGTTCCATGAGAAGTCGGATATTTTTGCAGTATGGCCTCCATGGATAAACTGATGGGGAAAACAAGAATACTTTACACATATGTGGCTCTTTTAGCAGCAGAACTTGTGAAACATGCCTGTAGTTTTTATTCAAATGTAAGATTCAGCTCATAGTTTAAGCCTGTTCTCAGTTTTTGTTCAATCATTCTTCAGATTCACCATGAAGTTCACATCTTTAACAAAATTTAGGGACAACTAACTGCTGTAAACAAAGAAATGAGAGTTTTGCACATTTGCGTTTTATAGATTTTATGGCATTGAAAAATGTCCCAGCTAGGCCTGTCAATAACATTTTGCTGGGCTATTAATTGTCTTAGTCAGAAATTATTGTGATAAACTATATATTTTGAAGTTTGACAATAATTAGTAAAGTCAAATTTAAGAAGAAATGTTGGTTAATTTTTGGATGTAGTACCTTTTTTGACCACCGGATGTCAGTATCAGACTGTTTGAACCAAAGAATGGATAGTGAGGGAGCGAGCAGCGTGTCTGTAAGAAAAATGGGAGGGAAGCCCCTTGACGTGACATGGGCTGTCTCTCTTCGGTTCTCAAAATGGTGGACGCTCAGTGTGGTTTGAGCTGTTTAGCACAGCATTTGTCACACAAAGCGTTTAATTAAAAAAATCAGTCAAGTTCTCAGCTTCTTTTTGCAGAGAAAAACAACTTTTTACACGAAGGCACAGGTTTCAACCGTGAATTTTGGAGCTTTGACAAGACAGTTTTTTTCCGGAGGTCAGCCTGTTAGCTTAGCTCGTAGCTTAGCTTCTCAGCTTGGCCGTTTTAAACATCCAAAATTGTGGTTTTGGATGTTTAAAACATATTTTAAAGTGAAAGTGAGGGGTCAGTGATGAGCACCGGAGTTGAACCTTTTGTCGTCGAGTGTCTTCAGTAGAAAGAGACACATGAAGAAAGGATAAAGCCGATAAATGAAAATGAGGTCGATAATTTTCATTTATCATGCGATTAATTGATTTATTGTTTATTGCGACAGGCCCAGTCCCAGCTAATGTTTTTTTTCCTGTGGAAATATAAAAAATAAAACTTTTTTTAAAGGCTTTATGCTGTAACCTAATATTTTAATTTATTTTCAAGTGTGATACCTGTTTTACTCTTATAATTACTGGAAGGGTTCAGGGCTGCATCGTTCTAAACTTGTATACAGTCATTTTTTGGTAAAATTAAAATTTAGGCTTTAATCTTTAACTAAAGAAATAGTTTCACAATAAACTGATTTCTTATCAAGGAGTTTATGAACCAGGTTATTTTGTGACTCCAAACAAACTTTAGTAGGAAAGATGATTAAAATGACTGTTTTAACATAAATGCTGCTGATTTTACTCTTCAAAGGGTGAATCTTATTATTTATTTATTTTCTTGTAACTGCTGATATTTAATTTAAGTTTGTGGCTTTTATGGTAAAATGTTTCTAGGTCACTTATTTTTGAGGTGTAAAAAAAACTAATTCTGGTTTATTATTAATCTGTATTTTTTCCCAGCAGGTTTGTATCAATACAAATATTTTATGCTCTCAGTAACACTTCATAATCAGAAGCAGAAATCAGTCTCGGGCTTAGGTTTTATCCAACGTTTAAATCTGTCCATGAATGCCAAGAAAACCAAAAAGTTTGGTCATAGAGGTCATTTTTTTCCGCTCCTACTCTCGAGCGTACTGCATATCGCATTACATATCTGCTTGGCTGCCATAGAATTTGGCTGTGTAGGCCACCGTACAGCGAGCTAGTTAACCAGGTCCCTTTATCTGAATGGAGTCTGTTAGCACGGAGGAGAGCGCGATTCAACCTGCTTCTTTGTCTTTAAAAATCATTTTGGATCCTGGATTGTTCTGGGGGAAGACAGAGCTTAACAAGAGCATGGTTGTTTACAAAAGTGTAAAATAAAATTGTGGTACAGTATTTTGGAAATATGACAAAACGCGCGGAAGATGAAAGCGAAAGCAGCCGACCAGTGAACTCTGCAACAAACTTCCAGGCTTCTCCAAAGGCTGTGAAGATTTCCCTCCCCATCTCCTGCTGTATCACAAAAGATTTACGACCAGACAGCTCAGTGGAAGGCGAGGGGTTCAGGTTTATTTTTAACACGCTGGACCTAACGTACGTTATTCTTTCATGGAGATTTTTTAGTGATAGAGCTGCGCCACAACTCCTCCATGAAACCAAAATAAAGTGAGAGAAGCTCTGATGCAGCTGCAGCTCAAAGGGTAACAGTTTTTTTCTCATTATATTAAAACTTACAATAAGTTTAAATAAGTGAGCTGATTTACCCTTAGTTTAAGCAATGTTTTGAGCTGTATTTGACTTTCTGTACTATTGAATCTGTTCAGAGCCTTAATGTTTTCAATCTGTTAAAGACTCTGTTACTGATAGCAGGTTAATTTAAATGTTTTTAAGTTGTTCTTTTGACTGAATAGCTGCTGTACTGGGCCTGCAAGTTTTTTTTTTTTTAATATACTTTTTGTCTTGGAAAAAGTATATAAAAACCTGTTTTTGTCCCAATTAAGGTGATTTTATTGTTCCTATTTTCCAGATCACATAGCACTCATCTTAACTGAATCAAAAAATTTACAGCCAATCATGTGATTGATATCGGTGCTCAGCAGAAAAAAAACCTACTTGGAGCATCCCATAATAGATATAATTAGGGGTGCACCGATTGCAGTTTTCTGGCCGATCACCGATTTCTAAAAAGTCTAACCTGCCGATTCTGATTTTGTTTTATAAGCGACTCTGTCGGGTGTTATAAGGTCACAATGCACCTTCAATTTTCCAACATTACTTTGTTGAAAAACACACTCTTGAACAATATCCTAGAACAATACAAACTTGTTTTAACTGACCATGAGGTAGTGCTCTGAAATATAAATGAAGTTTAGACAAGTGTTGTTAAAACTACAAAAATTGGTCAAATCAGTTTCTCATGCAAGTATCTGCCGATTTCCCAAAATCAAGGAAATCATTGCACCCCTAGATATAATAGTATAATATAATAGTACAATATAATAGTATAATATAATAGTATAATATAATAGTACAATATAAT